CCTCCAGTCATATTCTGAGCTGGGCTACCCTGACAGCTGTGTTACTGATAGGAGAATGTCCTCTGCACATTTTGCCTGCGCTGTTAGTCTGCTGGCTGTCTTTTCACTGTTTAATTTTCGTTTTGATGCTGGTAGATAACTGTATTACACTCAAGTGGAGTTGCAGAGAGGCACCTGGAATCATAGCTGACCCATTCAAAGTGGATTTCCTGCGCATACTGGGGTTGAAGTATTTCCTTAGTCCTTTTAAATTTCTCTTCAGAGACATTGAAGGATTTTGAGGACCACAGACACCTGCTGCTGAAGGGTTCCATTTTCCCCCGCTCCATTCAACAGAAGATGACAAATCCTTTTTTGGGAGCCTGTCTAGGGCTGGGCATAGCCCTAGCATCCTCCTTTCTGCTTATGATGCTGTGCTCCTTAAGGTCCCTGGCTGGCACTGACATGCTCTGAGCATGGGCGGCTGACAGTGCTTGTGTATGTCAAGTGCTGTGAAGGCTTTGTGGTAATATTTCTGGTGGTTTTGGCTCCTTATTGGCCATCTGCACTTGCTCATGCATCTCTAAATGATTTTACTGTGCATCACGAGCAGCTGGTCCCTTTCCTTCAGTCTGATATGGCTGCTTATCGGTGTCACTGAGATTAGATTGTGGTGTTTGTACTTGGCAAGTGTTTGAATTAGTTAAAGCCACTCTGCATGCATCTTTATTCTTTAGCAGTATTCCCAATCAGTGCGTGTGTTGCTGTTGGCTTGTTTTTCTTCCCCTCCCTGGACTATTTGGTCCTGTCTTGGCCGTCCTCATCCTCGTTGAGATTGCTGCGGCTGTTTTCCTCTCTGCCTCTTGTATCACTTCCCATGGTACACCGGTTGTTACTGCCTGTATTCCTGGTCCGTTTGGCTCATCTGCCCTGCTGTGTTGTTTCGGTAAGAGCCCATGTTGACTTGGTGTTTGTGTTCCCATTTTGGTTTCCCCCTGCCCAGCTTGCTTTCCGTAGCTTTCTGTTGGCATTTTTGGAGGTCCAGCTCTGTTCCTCTCCGTGTGCTTGCATATGCATGCTGGACCTACGTAACTCCCAAGCTCTCTAATTAGTCTGCTGCTTCCAGAGTGCTTTCTAGACCCAGTTGCAAGATGAAGAGCACTGTCAACTGTTCCTTCATTTCTGATGGAAAATTGCCATTTTTCTGGGGAATTCCAGCCTCCCTTCATTTCATCTGCAGTAGTTGTGTTTTTGGTTGTGTTTCTGGCAGTGCTCTCTTTCAGTGCTCATCCTTTCTTTGTGCTGGAATATTACTAAAAAGAAAAAATGTTCACCTTTAATTGGAAAAATAAGGTCCTTAGTATTGATTTTCAGGTCTGTAAATGGATTTGGTTCTTTCTTCCATTCTTGTGTACATAGACTCTTCATTTGGAAATGTACCTCTTGTGGAGTTCAAGTTGGCCTGTCTGCACGCTTTGTTCTTAAGGGTTCATTTGTCCACCAGTTTCTTTGCTCAGTGCTCCCCTGGGCTGAGTGCTGCTCCAGGCTTTCCTTCCTCCCACCTTCACTGACACAGCATGAAGTGTCTCACTTGCAAGGAAGAACGGGGACCATTGGCTGCAGTGAGACAATGGCACAGGTTGCCCAGAGAGATGGTAGGTGCCCCGACACTGCAGACACCCAAGGTAAGGCTGGATGGTGCTCTGAGCACCTGATGGAGCTGTAGGTGTCCCTGTTCATTGCAGGAGAATTGGACCAGATGGCCTTTAAAGGCCCCTTTCCAACTCAGTGATTCTATGAATCTTAGCAAATATCTGTGAGCTGGACTGCTCAAATCCACATAAAACATGGTGGAATTAGTAGTGGGAGACCTTGACTGCAATAAGTGAACCCCAAAGTCCAAACTTGTGGCACAAGTCAGGGTTGGATGTGAAAATGCTGCCATGAAGCGTACTGCCATGAAGGTACTCAGGATTGTAGTGAGCCTGGCCATTGGACACAACATGGAGCAGCTACAGGGAAACTGCTTGATCAAATTACAGCTGATGTAACAACCTGAATGGGTACAATTTCTTTGTGTACTTTAGCAAACCGGGTTAGATTTCTCTTAGGCTTAGCAGGCACATGGATTTTGTTGATATAGGTGAAACTAATCTTTTTGTTTGTGATTAATGATTTATGAGCTCATTTCAAATAGCTTTCAGGTGTGGTTTCGGGTATACAGGCTGTGCTTTGTGCTGTGGCACTTCATAGGTATTTACCGGGGAAATGCAGTGCAGTTCAGGCACTTGAATGATGTGTACACTGATTCTGCTAAGGCAGTTTCTTCTTTGAGTCTAGGACTTATCACCTATAGCTGTTAGCAAGCAATGAGTGAATGCAACTTGGACAGAAATGTGTTGTGTGAATATTTCTGAGTTCACAATTATTGCAGGCACTTTCCTTCCAGTGTGGGCAGCTCCTGTATGCTATTATCGCGGAGGAGGGGAGTGCTGGGCAGACACTGAAGAGCTCAGCAAGGCTCATTTGGTATTCTTCACTGCTGTGTTCATGCTTGTGTAAGAGAACTGCACTGACCTGCAGTCCATTCCATACGGATTTCCAGTCTGGGCTCGCTGACTCCCTGCGTCCTGGTGCACCCTCAGAGGCCTGGCTGTTTCATCAATTCCCTTTGTTTCATATTTCTTTTGAATAAGGTTTGCGCCAGAGGAAGAAGAGCAGTATTGCTTTGAACCTAAGAAGCAGGAGATGCATTTGTTGTTGCAAACTTTGGAGGACTTTGAGGAAGGTTTTCTGTAGGGGACAAAATGAAAGCGTAAGATGTTGCTGTCTGTGTGCGGGTATACTGCAATCCTCCTTCCCCTGCATGTGAATTATAGTCAGCCCAGTTCCCCTTCAGCAAATGCTTTGTTCAATGATAATTGTTTCATGAGGAAATTAAAATGTCAGTGCTGTGCTGTGTTAATGATAGAGACTCTGGAGAGCTTTGAACAAAAAGGTTTGGCACATGAAGTGGGTCAGAAAGAGCAGATATTAGTGCTAATGATAACATCAAACATCCTGGGAAAAGAGCATCAGTACAGTGTGAGACACAGCCTGTGTAGGGAGCGGGCTCAGCCCTCCTCTGACTCCACAGGTCTGGACATTTCTCCTGCTCTGGTGGCGGGCAGGAGATTGGGCTGTTTGCTCTGTAGGGCAGAGGAGCACCGTGCAGGTGTCTATGAAGAGATGCATTCAGCTGGGCCTGCTGGAAGCCATTTGTTCCTGCTGTAACCCAGTCACACCAGGGCTGGCTGAGCTCTCGCCCCAGCAATAGATAAATCAGAGTGATGTAAGCCTAGCGCTCCTGTGATAAGGAGAATTAGGAAGTGGATTGAGAGGGGCTTGTTTCAGAGCTACAAAGGCAGCAGAGGGTCGGTGGGGCTTTGAAGGAGGCTGCTGTGTGGAGCTGCCATTGAACTGGAAGCGATCCGTGTCGCCAGGGAAACAGGCAGCCTGTGATTCCCGGCCAGAGGACGCCTGGTCTTTGAAATAATGGTGTAAAGGTTTTTGTGACACGCACCGTCCGGGTTTTAAAAATAACCACTTGACATTTAGCGGGGTATGAAAGGGATATTGCTGCAGTTTAGCTGGTGGTTGACAAATACTGATAAAAACTGGGTCTGTTTGAAGAGGGGTTTGAATGTTGGTTCTGCTAAAGCTCTCCCAGCGCAATTGTTTGGGGGAGAAAGAATGAAGTGGGAGGTGAAAGGAAAGTGTTGAGTAGACGGGATGGGAGCTTTGTTCTCCTAGCATAATTGTAGCAGTATTTCTGCATTACTTTTTCCATTGTAATGTTACAAAGGATGTACCCAGGAGTAAAGTTTAGAGTAAGAAATTAATGTGGGAGAGCAAAGAAAGAAGCTGAGAGCACTGGAGTTGGAGTGAAAGGCTCGAGTTGTCTTCCATTTTCCTTCATAAGTATGGCAGTCTGGTGGACTTTGGAGAACTATGAATTAAAGTGAATTACCACAGAAAAGATGGTAAAGGCCCCAGCAGTAATGGCCCCAGCAGAATTTTCAAGGTAGAGTTCAGAAGTAAGGGAATGGCAGGATAAGCAGTAGGAGGAAGCTGGGAGCAAGCGGCTTCTCTGATGTGAATCTAGCTCTGCAGCAACGATGGAGCATTGTTTCCCTGGGTGCTGTGTCAAACCCCTGCAGATCTTCAGCCACCTAAATCAGTGTGGATGTTTCCTGCCGCTGGAGGCAAGCATACTGCCTGGTTCCCTGGGCTGGGTGGCAGCTTATCATTTGCTCCGTGCATGGCAACTCTGGGTTGACTCATGGAAGTCAAAGGGCTTGGTGTCTGGAGCCAGGTCTGCAAGCCCCTCCTGAGTAGAGTATTTGTTCCCTTTCCTTACTCACGTTTTCTGTCTGCTTCCCCATGCACTCTCCTGCTTTGAGTGCTGAAAGCACCTGTGTTCAGATGGCATGACTTTTATTCTGCAGCCTTTCCATGCTGTTTCTGAGAATGGGATATTACAGCTGCCAGAAAACAGAATTTTGCTGTAATTAATAAAGTGCAGGGAATAGGTTTGATTTCTCTCCAGGGAGAACTGTTACAGCAGAGACAACAGGGATGGATTTGGCCTCAATGATGTAACTTTTCTTTGGGGAATCAAATCTACATCCAAAATCCGTGCTCAAAGCAGAAGTTTCGTGGATAGTGAGAACAGGATGTGATCTCACATCAAGTATCACTGAGCTTTCTTTAATGTGCCTTAAAGATTAAGAGAATACCAAGTGTTTATCACTGGAATGTGAATGTAAGCAGCAAAGTGAATGTGTATCTGAACAGGAGAAAATAATTACTTACAGTTTCAATTTCACGATAACTGAATGGCTCTTTTTTTTTTTTTTTTTTTTTCCCAAATAAAGAGCTAGCACTCATAAGCTGCAAAATGGTCAGGAAAGCTACGTGTAAGGTAATTTTAAAAAAACAACCCTGTTAAGTGGTATTGGCTTTTTTATCTCGTTTCTCAGGCTAACATTCCTTTGGTGGCTGTCACATGTTTACCAACCAGCAGCCTTCCTCGTTCCTTGGGTCATTAAGTCAACAAATACGAAGCAGAGAAAAAGAAGAGGCACCACTCCAGTCCCTGAAACTCAGGGTTGTGCTTCTGTTCCACTTTGCCCTGCTTGTGTGAGCACCACAGGTCCAGAGGATTTAGAAACCTGTCCCAGGAAGAAAGCTTTGAAATGTATTTTCTGTGAGAAGAGTATCTTTGGGAATTTTCACTGCTGGCTTGACTTGTTTTGCTGCTTTACGTAAGGACAATTAGGTAAGCCTGGTGCTTTGAATAATTTGTGCCTATTTCTTGGTGTGAAGATAGCTTTCCTATTTTGTTGCTTCTGTGACAATTGTAGTTTTTTAAAGGTAAATCCTGAGTTACAATTCTTGTTACTGTGAATTTGCATGTTTCTTGGGTTTTCTTAAAGCGGTAATACAGGGGTCTTGGAAATTGCAAATAATTAAATAGGAGTTAGCCTTTTCTTCTGTTTTCTGCTTTGACTTTGTGCTGTTTCCTACTGGCACTTAAGATTAAAATCTACTACTACAGAACAGTAGTTAGACCATAATTATAGGCCCACAATAAGTAATGTGAGTGCAGGGAATTTACATTCATGTTAAGCAGAGAGGGTACATCTGATCCCTGTGCAGGGGAAGCTGTCAATACTTGCAGATACTTGTGGCTGGGGTGGGTTAAGAAAAGGGTCTAAATGTAGCATGGTAGCTGTGGGAGAATATAGCTGAAGATATCCGAAATAAAATAGTAAGCAGGCCTTGGCTGCATGTGTCCGAATAACCTGAGGAATCATGCTGCACTTCGTTCTTGGGGTCTGCCATGGCAAGTGTTTTGCAGAATGTGTGCAGGGATGGTTGTTCACGTGGGCTGAAGTATCAAACTGCAAAAGCCTGCAAAATATGTGGAATCTGTTTTAGTTAATCTCCATTGCATCTATTTTGGTTAATAGTCACCTCTGCCTCTCCCCTTCTTGCTGTCCTTCTGACTCTCAAGCGGCATAGCTCTCCATTCTAGTCTTGAGAATGGGATCTGATGGGCATCTTGCTAGACCACTCTTGATTGTTTTTGAAAGGTTATTGTAATCAAGAGAGGTGCCATTGAGGACTGTAAGAAAACAAATATTGCTCTAGTCTTCAAAAGTGGCAAGAATATATAGATAGAAGGAAAAAATCTCTTACAGTGAAGGTGGTGAGGCACTGGAACAGGTGATGAGAATCATTGGAATAGTGATGAGATTGATGCCCCGTTGCTGGAGACTTTCAAGACAAGGCTGGATCAGGCCCTGGCCAGCTTGGTCTAGCTGTGGACATCCCTGTTCATTGCAGGGGAGTTGGATAGAAGGCCTTTGGAGCTTCCTTCCGATGCAACACTGTGATTGTATGAAGAAGGAAGATCTGGGGAACTACTGGCTAGTCAGCCTCACCTCAGTCCCTTAGACGATGATGGAACAGCTCATCCTGAAGGCCATCTCTAATCATATGGAAGTCAAGAAGATGATCAGGAGGACTCAGCATGGATTCATTGAAGGGAATCATGCTTAATGAATCTGGTTGCCTTCTGTGATGTCACTGCTGTCTGGACAGGTGAGAGAGCAGTGGATGCTGTCTGCCTTGACTTCAGCAAAGCTTTTGATACTGTATCCCGTGATATCCTGATAGACAAGCTCAAGGAAGTGTGGGCTGCAAGAGTGGATGGTGAGATGGGTTGAGAGCCATCTGAATAGCGGAAACCAGAGGACTGTGATCTGTGGCACAGAGTCTAGTTGGAGGCCTGCAGCCAGCGGTGTTCCCTAAAGGTCCAGTACTGTTTAACATACTCCTAATTTACTTAGATAAAGGAAGAGTGCCTTCTGAGCATCATCAACATTTGTTTTCTCTTCTGAGATCACTCCTGCTCCCCATTAGGTCAGTGAGAACCGTACTTTTGATTTCCATGTCCTATTCCAGAGACATATTTTGAGCATAAGTCCTAGGGTCCAAGTCTGATTCAGTTTTGCCAGGCTGAGAAGTGCCTGGAATAGACAGAAGATGTGATACGGGGAGAGTACAGGGGGGTGAGGCACATGTGGACACCCATGTATCCTGACCATTAAAACGAGCTGATTCCCACCTCATTCTGCCTGTTGAACCTGATTTCCTCTCCTTTGTTACAGAGCTTGTGGTTAGCTGAATCAGTTCATGCCCTTCTCCTTTTCAGCCCTAGTAATGAGTTAATTAGTTTGTTATACTAATTCATATAGAGAAAATTTCACAGTGGTGTGGTAGAAGGTGGCAGTACTTGCTAAGCTCTTAACTGTTAAATTTATGAATCTAGAAACCACTGGCATTTTTCCCCAAGCATTTATTTTAATGGCTTTTGTTATTGGTAAAACATGTTTTCCCAGGGTGTAGGTTACTTGGTCAATGCTAGAGGCCTAGAAATCTTCCATAATAAAATCTTTCTTTGAAACCATACCCATTTTCTTTCTGATCAGGAGGTTGCCACTGCTGATATTGCCTGGATGTGTTTAAAGGGAGCTGAAAAAGAGATGAGTTAGATTGAGAAGGCCACTCTTGTAACAAATGGCTCCAGGCTTGTTGAGGGCGAGTGTTACCAATCATTGAAAATAATCTTCCTTTCAAGGGAGAATTGAGCCACAGAGAAGTCATGGACCTTGTTAGTGTCCTGCTGTCTATTAACTGCTCTCAGTGAGCAGATGGTCTCCTCGTGGCTTCCCAGGAGGCTCTCTAGGCATATGCTGTGTGCAGGTCTGAAACTGCCGTGTGAGTATCCAACATATTGTGGCCTCTTGCTGCTCCCTCATCCCCTTCAGCAGCAATTGGGAGGCGTCCATGGCCTACCAGGAACTGACAAGAAGGTCAAGGAGGAGCCAGGAAGGTGATGAGAGGGCGCTCTGTTTTCTGTGGGCGCATGGCCTGCTCTCTGCAGATGGGAAATTGTGTAAGTATTAAGAGATTTGGTTTGATTAGCTGAAATCTTCTGTTGGCAGCACATTTCCAGTCCCTGGAGCAATGGAGATCAGACGGGTTGCTAAGGCAACACACAGCCTTCAGTGAGTGGTTTACTTCTGCATCGTCCTTGGTCAATTGATGGAGTAGAGCTTATTTAGGTCTTTGAGGGGAGAAAAAAAAAAAAAAAACAACAAAAAAACTGTTGTCCGGCCTTTTACTGTGGTGAGTCATTCTGCCTTGGGTCACCAGTGGAACTAAGAACGAGGTTTTGTGGGTGAGAAAAAGAAGTACATGACAACATGAAGATCCCAATTAGATTCCTCTCTGAAGCAGTGAGAGCACTTCAGTTCTAAGTGGAAACAACTTATTCTTTTTCTCCCCAAACAAGAGGGAGGCATTAACAAAGGTCCTCCTTTCTCCTTCCTCCTCTCCCTGTTTCTCTGTCTCCCAAATGTAAAATGTGTATTTCCATTTGCTAGAGAGCTCTGTGCTTACTGTTGAATTCTCAACTCATACAGTAGATCTTTACATTTTAACTTCCCATCAGTGCTTTGCTTGCTGTTCTCCACTCCATCTTCTGTTGCAGAAGCCTTGATGAAGTCAGCTTGTATAAGTTCTGTTATTCTCCTTTTTGCACAATCTGCGAGATGAAATGCTCAGTGTGTCACCACTGCGAGGATGCAGTTGAGGTGTGTGTGGGGAGTGGGCAGTGTGCTCAGAGTCATTCCTGTCTGCTGTTGGATCACTGATCTGGATTCCAAGTCAGGGAGTTTGCTGTGCTGATTCCTGGTTTTGTTGAGACAGCAGTGTTGTGCCAGTGCTGTGCTGAGTTTTCTCTGAAATTTTGGAAGGGACCGGGTGCAATGTTTGCAGAATCCAGGAGAGGAGTGCTATCACGCAGAGTGTGTAGGGACTTGATGTGCTAATAAAGATCCCCATAAAGTAATTGTGGAGTTGACAGGGAAGACATGCTACAGGGCTAACAAGAGCACACCTGGTGAGTTGAAGGTGGTATATGAGAAACAACATCAGAGTGCCCTTTTTGGTCTTTTTTACTGTTGAGCTAAATGTGGGTTGCGCTCAGCAGCAGATACCTTATTAGTTCAGAAGAAAATAAGTGTGCAGGCCAGAATTAGGAAGCGCTCACTGCATGGTCTAACACAGGGAGCCAGGCTGGCATTCTCTGAAAGCGCAGGTGCTCTGATTCTGTTGTGTGTGTACCTGAGCTGGTGTCATGTAGCATGGGGAGAAAAGAGAGAATTAAAATAAGCCTAGGCACTGCTTGCTGAGATGCACGTTCTGACCTTCTCTGTCATAAAACCAGTGCATGGCCTTTGTAGACTGCAATTTGTAGCTGAGAGGAAGAAATTAAAAAGGATAGAGGAGCCTTTAGAAGTCTGCATTTATTTATCCTTTCTTGAGAGGATGGCATTTGGTAGATGTGTCACTGTGGTGTTGCACGGTTATATTCTTTCCCTGTCTCAAAATACTGCATTAGTGATACCATGGCAACAAAGAAGTTGTCTTTAAAGGAAAAGCAAAAAAAAAAGCATGACTTCAGCACTCAAGAAAGGTGGCAGACTGACAGCCCAAGCCTTCCCTTTCTACCAGAAAGGCAGTGGTGTCAGCTGTGACAAAATGTATGTGATTATGAGCTCTGAGTTGTACTGTGACTGAAAACAAACCTGGGACGTGATCAAAGGCAAACCTACTGTAGTAAGCTGGTTGGGAATTTCTGAGACAACATATTCTTGTTACACAGACAAGAATATTTGGTTAAAATCTAACTTTTCTAAAAAAAAGCATCTTGAAAAACCTTTGCTAAATACAGGTTGTGTCCTTATTCAGGATGGTATTTCTCTCTGGGCAGGGTATGGAGACAGCAGGAGAAGCCAGATGTCTCTTGCCACAGCAGTAGGTTTTCCAGTGGTAAGGCAAAGGACGCATGGAAGCTGCCAGCTTAAGCGTCTGCCCTACTTGGTTCAGACTTGAATTTGAACATGGGTCTCATCTCTAACATGAAAGCAGAAGATTGTCTTTTAGGGTCTCGCTTTCTTATCACAGTTGATCTAATCCAAATTGTATGGATATTTAACACTGCAGTCTTTTTCTTGCTTTTCTATGTCTTAGTTGAAGGCTTCCACCACCAGGTGAGTCCCCTCACTGCTCTGTCTGATGGCTGTTTTTACCATGGAAAATTGTTGCAGTGTGTGAAACAGTTTGAGACTGGCTTGTAGGTTAGGGTGAGAATTGAGATAGAGGGGAAGTGACAGCACAGGCTTGGGCATAAGGGTTTTCTCATGGCAGGTAGAGCACTCGCCTACACACTCAGTCTGTTACAGTTTTCTAAAGATCTTTTCCCTAGCGCTGATCTCAAATTACTGGGAGTCTTGGAAGAGGACTTTCTGTCTTCTAGTTTTTCATTGCTGGTCTGGAGAAGCATTGAGGAAAGTTGTGAAGGCTGCAGCTCACTCTGGTTATCTCAGACGTTGGTTCAACTGAGAAAAAACTTGTTTTTTTATTTACAGGGATTCTTCATATTGGGCAAAAATTGCAGGGTAAAAGTGTCTGAGGGCTTTTCGCACAAAAGATCAAGAAGAAGAGAGTTAAAGACAGCTATTCAATGGAAGGTAGGCAGTGTGAACACTGTGGACAGTGGGGCACGCAGAAAGATTCCAGCTACTCTGCCCAACCTGAAATGCACATTGAAATGAACATTGGCCTGGTAAAAGCCAGAAAGAGAAGAGAAGAGAAGGGATTATGTAGGTGTTATAGTTGATTCCATCTCTGACTCTTGAGCACAGTAAGACTGTTTCTCGCTAAAAGTTTATGCCCTGTTTTATGTATATCATATTTCCTCATATATATATATGACGAAACTGGTCAGAAGGATGGTTTGTGGTCAGACTGAGCTGAATGCTCCCAGTGTCCCAAGGAAAGGGGGTAAATCTGTGCGGGTCTCAAAGCCTTCCTGTTGTAGTTTGAGGCAAGGGTCAGAATTGAGGCCTGGCTGGTACCACAATAGTCCTCATGCTGTCTCTGCTGAACTCTCTCAGCCCTGATACATAGGGGGACCAACTTCAAGTCCTTGAATGGCAACTCAAGTGTTGTGCTGCTGCAATTTTCAGTCTCCCTGGTCTTGTTAACTTCACTGTATTTTGAAAGCCATGTTGAATTTTCTAAAGTTATTATTAAGATTGACAATTATTCCTCTAATCATTCTTTTGAGACCTTGGCAGTCAGTTGAGTCACCTGCATTAGATGACATGCGTTCTCCCCTGTCCATTATGACATGCTTCTGTTTTCTGTTTTCATTTCTGTTTGTTCTGTGTGTGTGCTGAGAAATGGAGTGAGAGCCAGGACTCTTCTAAATGCAGAACATCAGGCATCATCATATGCAAACACAATGTACTTGCTGTTGATTTGACCTGGAGTTGTTTGAAACACATCCAGCAAAACTAATACTTCATCCTTTCTAATGAGAAAATGCCTTCTGTTGAAGGCAGAATATTTCACAGAACAGTTTGCTTGGTCTCAAACACTGACA